GAACTGTGATTCGAACTTGGGACACCCACAGTGCAAAGGCATTATATGTCGGCGCACTGGCCACAAGGCTATTGGTGCTGACAACTTGGCTACTTTTTTAGTGGTGTGACAGAAGCTTAGATTTTAACATTTGTGTTGTTTGTCATTTGTAGCATGGTTAAGTCTGATTCATTTACATTTAGTCATTTAGCAGATGCTTTTATCCAAAGATGACAATTTTATCCAAATGAGGACAATGGAAGCAATCAAAATCAACAAAAGAGCAATGATAGGCAAGTGCTATAACAAGTCTCAGTTAGCGTAATGCAGCACACGTAGCAAGTTTTTTTTTTTTATTCATTATAGTGAATCTGTTCATCTTTATCAGATGTAGCATATGATAGTATGATTCATTCCTGTAAATCAGTTTGTCATAAGTGTTCCTCTCTCTCTTTTGCTGCATTTGATAGTATGATTCATTCCAGTGAATCACTTTGTCATAAACAGTCCTCTCTCTCTCTTTCTCACACGTTGCATTTGAAAATATGATTCGCTCTAGTGAATCAGTTTGTGTTAAATGCTCCTCTCACACTCTCAAACATTGCGGTGAACACTCCTCTCTCTCATATGTAGCATGGAAAAGTCTGGTTCATTGTGGTGAATCGGTTCGTCCTTAATGGTCCTCGCTGTCAGATGTAGAATTTTAAAGTAAGATTCATGCTAGTAAATCAGTTTGGCATAAACTCTCCTCTCTCTTTCATATGTAGCATTGGAATATCTGATTCATTCCATTCAAATCAGTTCATTTGGATGAATCATTTTATAACAAAATATGTAATTAATTGCTCCTGTTCAAAAATGTTAAAAGTCAAAAAATTTGGTTGTTTTTAAAAATGTTTTACTTGTATTTTGTAGTTAAATGTTGTGACCTAAACTGAGATGTTTATTCATTCCAAAACTCTTTTTTTGTTTCAGAAAAATATTGTTTAAATATAATATCATCATGTTTAATTTGAATTAAAAAATGTTATATATATATATATATATATATA